CACTCGGGCAGGAGATGTGACGTGGTTGCGAAGGTTAAACTGGTTGAGTACATGATGCAAAGGAGTCACAGCATGGGCATCATTAAAGTTTACGTTGAAGTCTCCTACTAGCACAGTTGTGGTCTGCGGTCCACTGCAGCCAATCTCTAGGTTTGACTCCAGCCCATCTCAGTAGCCCGCAGATTCACTAGGTGGTCGATAGCAGCAGCCCAGTAAGACCGTCTCATTGCCTGGTCGACCTGGGACTAGAATCTCCAGCTCACACTTGAGGTCACGTCGTCCACGGACTTGCAAGGACGTTTGACAGTAGAAGGCAACACCGCCTCCTTGCCTGCCTTCCCGATCTTTGCGGAACACATTGAAATGAGGAATGTTTACTTCTCTGTCTGTTACATCGGCTGACAGCCAAGTTTCCGCAACGCCTAGGATGTGTACTCCACGGGTCGAGATAAAGTCTTCAATTCCTGCTACTTTTCTCCTAAGGCTACAGACATTTAAAAAAGCTACACTGGTCATGATATAATACGATATGGTGAGTTCGCCAACTGTCATATGCCAATCGTTGCTCTCGTTGTTACCCATGTCCTCCTGTTCCATGTCCGATTCGGTCAGTAGCTCATTTCCTGAAAAGTCAACAAGCTTTTTGGCACTCTGAAGGTTTTCCGTCCTTTGGCCACCATAAAGCCTCCCTTGTCATCTGGAGGGCAGTGAGCAGTTCCCAGCTCCTTGTTAGGCTGGTCTGGTTTGGCTGATTCCTGACTAGGTGAAGAAACTTGAGGTGTCCCAATTTCAGGTGCTGAAGCTGTACTTCTTGCTGACTGGCTTGTAATCACTGTTGGTTCTGAATTTGCACCCACTGTGTAATCCAGTGCCCCCTGGGCCTGGCCCTGACTGGCCTGAGCACCCTTCCGGGCGCTGGCTGCTGCATCAGCGTACGCGTGCTTGTTCTATTTCGACTACGCCAAAATTACTCACAAAAGACTACTGTGCTCAGGTGTAACAATGCAAGTGCGTCAATGGATCATGTGTGAAAAGAAGACGGGCGTGTAATATACATGAGGAATGGCTCACAGGTGGTCGGCAAGAGACCTGCTATAGACAGGTTTAACATCACATTCGTTATCTAAAATGTCATGCGGTCATCATATCTATCTCTAACCAGATTGCACGACACAATATACCTGTCGTGTTAATGCAACAAGCAGCACGCCGCTGCTACCAATACTCGCAAAGTGCTCCAAGTGCTGTTCTCAAGGCCCACCTACACCTGTTTAGGGTAGAATCAGCTGATATTCTAAGTTTCTTCAATGACTGTATACGTCTTAGTGCTCTGCTACTTACCTTCATGTACTGGAGGAAAGCCAAGAGAGTTCTGTCACTTGTCAGCAACATGCCTTCGTACAACCTGCATGCCATCGTGAAACGTGCAGAGCAACTACACTTGACATCCCTTACACGGCCTACCAAAGATGTGCTATTGACGAAATCACAGATGCTGTCAAGTACAGACTATTGCATCACGGTTCCAAATGAACCAGACTAAAGCATTATTGTACTGAAGTAGTTGAACTACGACTGTAGTTGAACTACGACTGACCCAAGGCCAAGATGGCACCCAAATGCTTGCATGGCTTCCCTGTTAATATTGTACAAGGGCTGACGGTGGTCATACATTTATAATGCATGCCAGGTACATGACGTTCCGGGCTACTAAAGACTGCTGCAGCTCTGTGTGTGATGAACAGGGAACACCGATGAATCTACACAACCCACACAGCCATACTTGCGCTTCGACTCAACAACTTGCTATTCTTGTCGGCTCGGAACATAATAATTATACTTCGAAGTACAAGAATGTCTTCATGCATGAAAAGTCATCCAGTGGAACAAACATCGAAAGAATGCCCGTCAGTTGGACGTGTGTGACCCCTGATTATTTGCAGACAGCCCACCATCATTTCCGAAATGTCACCATTTGTCGAGTTATGGTATAAAAAGCCCCTCATTATTTTCCATATTTTAACCTAGAGCAAGTATTCCCGAAGCATCGGAATGACCACGTCTAAATATAGCAATGGGTGATGGTCCTCTAGCAATGAGCGCACTGGTAATGACCGAAAAACAATTATTATTATTATTAAGAAAGTGTTTGCTCCCCACACCGGAGCTCGCGCTATTCCGCCGACTTTACTTAACACTTGACTGACTCACGACTGCCATGCAGAGCACACAAGAAGTCCATCGAACCTTCGACTCGGCAAACCTGCAAGAAAGCACCACTCCCTGCTCAATACACAGTGTTTCAGGGAATTCACCCCTCAACAGTTGAGCTTGAGTAGGCTGAGGAAGATTGTGCCTGAAGAGCACCACTTATATAGTGCTCTCCAGGCACAAACACCACCAGGGGTACAAACTTACAGAGACGCTCCATTTCCAGCGCGACAAACACCTCGTGAACACCAGATAGCAGTGTGAGTCAGTGTCGCTCCTGGACGGTGAGTCAGACGTCGAGGACCCTCGGTCATTCGCAGCGCTGTCACCTCCAAACCAACTAGTCGCAAGCCCGCGCTATTATTATCACTATTACTTGTACTATTTTAGAATTGCGATCAACAGAAGGAGCTGAACCGACATTTTCGTGACCAACATCAATTTTCATGCGTCCTAGTGGAAGAGTGATGAACCTTTGTTTCCCAGAATGAGTGAGTGTCACACCAGGCTCAAACACACCATCTTGGCACAGGAGCTATCCGACATTGGGGTCGGCGGTACTGTCCACCTATGGTTCACTAGTTACCTGAGTGAGCGGCTTCAACGCGTAGTCGTGGGCGGAAATTTCTCGGAATACATCGCATGCAATCGAGGGGTGCCGCAAGGATCCCGGTCCTCGGCCCCCTCCTATTCACACTATACATCCGTAACCTTCGATGCTGCTTGCCCCAGCAGGTCACAAACCAGGAAATTGCAGACGACATTGCAATTGAAGCCTCGGGCAGTTGCGAACAAGTGTGCTCTTCTCTAAGCACAGCCATCACCGGCCTGTCGCAGTGGTTGGAGGACCGCAGACTAATGCTGAACCAAAAGAAAACGCAAGCTCTATTGATTACCCCAAGAGGCCCAGCCCCTGACACAGATAGCATTCGAATTCGCAGCCCTTGCAGTTGTGGAACAAGCGGGGTACCTGGGCGTAATGGTAGATGGGCAGCTCTCCTGGGAGCCTCACGTCAATCACACAATCCAGCAGGTGCGGAAGTCAGTAGGTGCGCTGTGGCGGAGCCGCCGAAGCCTCACCCTGGCGTCAAAGATCCTGTTTTACAGGTCGATGATCCAGGGTAGGTTGTCGTACGCTTCCAACGCCTTTTATCCGTCACTTCAAATTGGCAACATGGAGTCCCTCACACGTCTAACGAAGTGCACTATCCGCGGCTTCTTCAGTCTGCCACCGTGGTCGCGCACGAGCCTGATCTTTGAACAGCTCCGCCTCACCACCCTGGAGGACATGTTTTACATTAAGCTCCTCATCTTCGTCCGTCGTTGTCTGTTCTCCCGAGCTAGCTCCCTCTTCACCAGCTTCTTCGTGAGAGTTACTGGTGACCGCACTCGGGGAGCAGCACATCACCTCGTTCGAGTACCATTCTGGCCCGGTCTTGCGGGTCGAGCGACCATGCAGTTCATCGGCGCAGTCCTGTGGAACCAGCTCCCGCCTGATCTCCGTTCCGAGCCCAGCCACCTTCAGTTCTGTGCCCTGCTAAAAGCGCATCATGGCTCCGTTTAAATGCTTTTCGGCTAGTGGCTTTCTGTGGTATAGCGGACTGAAGAATAGTAAACGTGTTTTGCAATAATTATGTATGAAGTTTTTTTGTATATAGTATGTTCCCATTCCGTTTTTGCTTTGGTGTAGCCCTGAGGTGGATTGCTTATTTATTTCTACCCTTCCTCTCTCCATACTTCTGTCCCCCCCCCTCTCTCTCATTCCTTCTGTCGTCCACATGTATCAAAGGAGGCGCAATCGCCTGTTTGTGGTGCGACGTTAAATAAACTTCTACAACAACAACAACAACAACAACCAGGCTTGCTCATCTCCAACGCAGGGCAAGTCGCGGACGACAGAAGAGGGAGCTGACGGAGTAGTACTAGTGAAGAAGCCCGTGGATAGTGTCCATGAGTTTTAATTTGGTGGCTATGTGCATAATGTGAAAGTCTGCCATATCGAGCACACAGCCACCGCTCGAACTCAGATGGCTTTCTCCGCACGCCTCAGCGACGAGGCTGCGTCTCTCTGCACTTCAACATCAGCAGCTCGAGCAGCGCCAGCAAGCAGTCGATCTTCCTGGAATAGCGAAGACAGGGATGGGTCATGCAAGCCACAGAGTCTCTTGGCAGGGCGTTCCGCGCCTTCGGTAAAGGAAGGAAGAAATTCGTCATCGACACAGCGTTCCGAGCAAAACACTGTGAACGATGTCGCAACAAACTGCTGCCCTCTTCTCGCCGTATAGCCAGGATCCAAGAGAATGGAATGCCAGCATCACCAGGGCACTCATGGAAAAAAAATGGGTTTCTTAGACTCGGGATGACGGTGGCTGCAAACAAGAACCCAACAGTAGTCCTTGGAAAGCATTTCGGAACTTCTTCCTTCAGAATTAAAAAAAATTCAAAATGAAAAAGGCTGGGGAGTACATACATGAACATCGCGTGGGGACCGTGAAAACACAACCTGTCACAAGCAACTTGATCACGTCTCGCAGCAAACCATGCATGCTGGTTGCATGAAAAGTGTGCAGCGCGCGTACAGCATGCCCTGTCTCGACCCCTACCGCTTATTGTGCAAAGGGTCTATTATGCCGGCATAATCCACCGGTGCCTAGCGACATTACTAAAAATTAGTACGCAATTCAGGAACATTTTGGAGGTTTTCGGTTTCACTAGAATACTGTTCAAGATTTGTCATCAGGTGAAGCACATCCAAAGTGAAATGAACAAGGTCAATGGACAATGTACAGTAGAGAGGTGATAGTAACAGTTCAGGAGAGTAGAGCTATAATAACAAGAAAGCATGGGTGTCATATGCACATAGAAATGAAATCGGGAAAAGGTGCAACAAAAAAGAAAAAGAACTCGGGTGGTGGGCCAAGAAAAACATTGTAACGTGGTATGTGTGGGCACAAGTTACACAATTGAGTCTCCCAAAGAAACAAGACTTTGAACAGCCGTACATGCACAACCTAGCACAAAACCTCCACACTTTCTTGCAGTGGAGTTGCTCCGTACTCCTTGTCAGTTCTGTACTACATTGTGCACGTCTGACTGTTCAGGGACTGGTTTAGTTGGGTGACTCATTCGCATAATGTGTGCCCACAATTTCCATGTAGCAAAAATGAGAACTTAGTGATGTTTAAATTACCAGCAGTGGCAGAAGGTGGGGTGCCGCGTATGGCACGTGAGTTTGGATACATATCCAATAGCAGTAGGTGCGCTAAAAAGGCGGATTTGCTTTAAAAGCAGACTCCTCCATATGTGTGAATGTTGTAAGACTCGAGTGGGTTCGTGTCAATTGCATTTGGCTCAATGTTGGCATGCATGACTAACAATACTTTATGCTAGCAAAAAAGGGAGAAAATCCATGCCAGACGGAAAAACAATACACACATTTATGATATAAGAAGGATGTAGTTGTGAAAAGGAGTGAGGGAGGGGTAGAGTAAAAGAAGAACATGGCTACTACTACTAGTACTAATAATGCTGCTATTCTACTACATAGGTTTACTTGGAATTGACAATGATGAGACGTGGAGAGGTGAGCAATAGCCCCACGTACATTTACATTTCATGATGCTGATTTTTAGAACATGTCAATAACAAGGGTTAACGTTGACAATTTACTACGACTTCGTGTTGATTTCATCTGGGATATCAATTTCTTCATATATAGGCTCCTGTTTGGTGCTGTAAGCTGGATTATTGGACAAGTACGTCATACCCGTCGTCTGCTTGAAGTCGGAGAAGAAAACATCTTGATGAAATTTGCTCCGTGTTTTGTCTTCCCTTCTAGAACGACTAGCTTTGTATTCACGTCGTGACCAGATGATGACTATGACTGCGATAATAACGAAAATCACTCCAGCACCTCCCCCTAAACCGATCGACAACTCGTGCCCTGAAATGGAAGAAATAAAAAGAAAGGCATTATTAAGTAAAGTGGAAATGAACTAGCGAATACATTATCCTGTAACGTTCGACATGTTTATATTGCATAGGGACATACATGTAGCTGGTGCACATCTTCTTAGCGCATCACTTCCTCTTATCGGAACTTTCCGCAGATGAGCCTTCCAGGTTGGACGGTTTATGGGTTGCGCTTCGTAGATGTGAGCCAGGGACTACCACCCTATGGCGCTTTTTGGCAAAACATTTGTTTTCTCTCAAAATGTTGGTATGGTATGGTAATGTGCTCAAAACAAAATTTCAAGTTGATCTGCATTGGTAAAATGTGCCTAACCCTTTTTCTGCCGAAACTGACTAAAGTGCGCGTAGAATTGTTCTAAAGATGTCTAGAATCTGTTCGATTCCGCTGAATGAAGGGTGGTCCTCGAAGGATCATGCCTTTTTCCTCAGACTTTTTCTGTCAGATGGTGTAAGACCTGATGATAATTATCAAGCAGGTGGATCTGAGTGGAGGGTGCGGATTCTGCAGATTTTCTTCTTCCTGCACTGCCGTTAGGGACGAGGTGTTGTCCAGAGGGTTAGAATTTGGAGGAAAACAGTTAGTAATAGTATTTGGTGATGGAGCAGTTGTGTCCGTGCTTATATTTGGTGTGGCGGATGACACCCGACTGTCCGCCATTACGTCCGCGATGGAGAAATGTGGATCCGTCATTGGTGTTCCGAAGCGGGAAACAAAGGCTGTGGAAGGCTGCACCTTCACAACTGGTATTATATTCCTAGGCGTTGCGTAAACTTGGATGTCAGCCGATGTAACAGACGGAGAAGTAAACATTCCTCATTTCAGTGTGTTCCGCAAAGATCGGGAAGGCAGGCAAGGAGGCGGTGTTGCCTTCTACTGTCATACTTCCTTGCAAGTAAGTCGAAGACGTGACCTCGAGTGTGAGCTGGAGATGGTGTGGCTGGAGACTGTAGGACCAGGTCACCCAGGCAATGAGACGGTCTTACTGGGCTGCTGCTATCGACCACCTAGTGAATCTGCAGGGTCCAGGGATGGGCTGGAGTCAAACCTTGAGACTACCTGCAGTGGACCGCAGACCACAACTGTGCTAGTAGGAGACTTCAACGTAAACTTTAATGATGGCCATGCTGTGACTCCTTTGCATCATGTACTCAACCAGTTTAGCCATCGCAACCACTTCCCATATACTAAATAATATAATATACTGTAATTTCACAAATTTTCGGTGTACTTTTATTTTCAGTACTTTCGTTGCGTCTGTTTCACACCTAAACTTTTAATACACCGAACAAACACTTTAAGAGAGCATGTCTGAGAATACCAAAGTATGTGTGCAAGTGGATCTCTCCGATTTCGCTCAAAATTTGCAGGTAGGTTGCCTTTGGGGTGTGGATCGATTGTGCAAAGCCCTTGAAAAAGTTTCTGAAGGGAACCTTGAAATTTGCATACCCCTCAAAAATGGAGAATGAATTTGAAGACACCACTGCAGCTGTACTTATCAAAAATGGCCGAAATATCACATTATTTATGGGTCTAGAAACGAGTCACACCACAGCGTATACGAACAAGCTATGAACAAAACTCCATCAAGCCAACATTGCCTCACCTTAGAAGAGTTCCTGGAGCAGTACCGCTTAGCCACGCCAGCATCCCAGAAGACGAGGTCCATCACCCCCTGACGCCACAAATGATCGTCTTGAAAATAGCCAATTTTCAAGCGCTGGCAAAACAGCCAGCTACGTCCTCAATTGGTCAGAACTATACACCGGCAGATAGTAGAACACCTCTTCTAGCGCTGAGGACATGTCCCCCATCTTCCTTTCGGGGTTTTCTTGAAATAAGCTTTTTTGAATTTTTCCACTCGACCATGCTGAAATACGGCCAAAGTCATACCTGCGCAGGAAACCTCGCCACTCCGCGACGTCTCCTCAGCAATTTCTACTCCAACACTACTCCCAAGGCCGCAGAACAAAGTGTAGTGTTGACTCTGACAAGGAAAAGCAGCGGTGATCACTTGTCACTCCAAACGACAAGCTTCTCCTTGCGCCACCAATAATTTTTTGTGCGACTGTTCATGCAAAAGTGACTGAAGGCCTGAGCGCAGTTTTTGAATTTTATTGCAAGATGCACGGTGAGATCGCGTGCTCTGTGACGTAGGTTGACGCTTCCTGCATCACGGTACGCGGCCATCGATCGCGAATGTGCCTGGAACGCTACTCGGAACAGACCGTGATGGCAGAGGTAAGATGAGCTTCATTTCCTGCTTGAAATGCTGAGAACCCCCACAAACTGTCCTAGGAGTGTTGCAATGGCAGCAAGCCGTTGCAATATGCCCCGTACAGCATGGAGAGTTATTTCGTCTTTCACACTTACCTCCTGCAATCCCGAACGTAGCCCAACAGTAAAAGTCCCTTGTTTTCATGTCGATGCTCGACAAAAGCGGCTAGCTCGGTCCCTTTGTGTTGACTGGCACGCGAGCAGCACTGGCTGCACGCACTTGTCGCGTGAACTGCATGAGAGATTTCTTACGTCATAAAGAATGTGATTAATTTTCATCATCATTTCACTGGTCTTCGACCTACATGGTCAGGGAAAGTCCCGGTTCGTAGGCCTACAACACGGTCAGCGTGTTCTTGAGCGCAGTAACAACACAATTGTGATCACTTCCAGACCAACGGGCGTTCAAGGCGTGCGTAAACAAGCACACTTGACAAAGGCGACTCTGAAATCTCGTGAGCCGTGGGCCACGCGACTTGGCATTCTTGCGTCACAAGGCACGTGATTTCACCGTGCCTCTTGCAATAAAATTCAAAAACTGCGCTCAGGCCTTCAGTCACTTTTGCATCAACAGTCGCACAAAAAATTATTGGTGGCGCAAGGAGAAGCTTGTCGTTGGGAGTGACAAGTGATCACCGCTGCTTTTCCTTGTCAGAGTCAACACTACACTTTTTTCTGCGGCCTTGGGAGTAGTGTTGGAGTAGAAATTGCTGAGGAGACGTCGCGGAGGGGCGAGGTTTCCTGCGCAGGTATGACTTTGGCCGTATTTCAGCATTGTCGAGTGGAAAAATTCAAAAAAGTTTATTTCAAGAAAACCCCAAAAGGAAGATGGGGGACATGTCCTCAGCGCTAGAAGAGGTGTTCTACTATCTGCCGGTGTATAGTTCTGGCCAATTGAGGACGTAGCTGGCTGTTTTTCCAGCGCTTGTAAATTGGCTATTTTCAAGACGATCATTTGTGGCGTCAGGGGGTGATGGACCTCGTCTTCTGGGATGCTGGCGTGGCTAAGCGGTACTGCTCCAGGAACTCTTCTAAGGTGAGGCAATGTTGGCTTGATGGAGTTTTGTTCATAGCTTGTTCGTATACGCTGTGGCGTGACTCGTTTCTAGACCCATAAATAATGTGATATTTCGGCCATTTTTGAGGGGTATGCAAATTTCAAGGTTCCCTTCAGAAACTTTTTCAAGGGCTTTGCACAATCGATCCACACACCAAAGGGAACCTACCTGCAAATTTTGAGCGAAATCGGAGAGATCCACTTGCACACATACTTTGGTATTCTCAGACATGCTCTCTTAACACATAATCCAATAGGGAACTGCTAGACTGTACCGAAAATTGCTGTTCACCTAGCCTAGCTTATTGCCCTCATAACGAAAATATTGAGCACCGAAAATTTCTGAAAATAGAGTATAGTACCCAATGCCATGGTGCAAAGGAGGCACCACAGACATTAAGGTAGCTCGTCGCTCTAGCGCCAGAGTGCTCAAACTACAAAATGTAGTGGGCATTGCGCGATGCAGCAGCACAGCTCGTTGCTCTAGCGCCAGAGTGCTCAAACTACAAAATGTAGGGGGCATTGCGCGATGCAGCAGCACTAGAGCAGCCTACTGAGAGTGCTCAACAAGGCGAAAGCCGAGGAGCGTGATACCCAATATATATATATATAATTATATATATACACTCAGACACAAAGGATCTCCAAGTTTCTCACTGTTGCTACTCTGAGTTTCGTGCAAAAGCACTCTTCAGGCAACTTACTCTTCTCTCACATCAGTATCCCTTTAGCTTCTCTGATCTGCTCTAAGAAAAATATTTAACAAAAACACGCTCAAAGTCAGCTACAGCTGTTCGCCTAACTTAGCCTCAATAATCAAGGGCCACAACGCGAAAGTCCTCAGACAGCCGGAAGAAAAGAGATGTAACTGCCGTGTCAAAGCAAACTGCCCACTCAACGGGGACTGCAACGCCAGCGAGATAGTATACGAAGCTACAGTGGACTCCAATCTCAGCCGGAAGAAGTATATCGGCATCTCCGAAACCCCGTTCAAACTCCGGTTCAACAACCACACGTCATCGTTCCGGAATGCCCCACACAGAAACAGCACAGAATTGTCGAAGCATGCATGGGCATTGAAAGAGGCAGGTGAAGGCGTCAACATCTCGTGGAGAATCAGGCAGAGATCCAGCGCCTACAAAAGAACCTCGAAGCGGTGCAACCTATGCCTATCGGAGAAGATCGCCATAATGAAGAGTGACAAGGCATCGCTCCTCAACACCAGATGCAGCCTGGTCACAAAATGTCGCCACAGCACCAAGTACCTCCTATCGGAGGTGACCTGAACTGTAGACTGCGCTTGCTATCTGTTACACATATACAGAACTCCTGCTATCTAATGTGCATGCATCCTACTGCCACACTTCACTTTATGCACACCACCCGGCCTGCGCGATTGCTCACACTACCACACTTGCCACATTTATCTTCACCTGTGATTCCCACCTAGACTGGCTAGCGTGCTTCTTTTCCCCACCTGTGATGCCCACCTAGGGTGCTTCTTTTCGTCTTTTCTGGTATGTAAAAGGATACTGATGTGAGAGAAGAGTAAGTTGCCTGAAGAGTGCTTTTGCACGAAACTCAGAGTAGCAACAGTGAGAAACTTGGAGATCCTTTGTGTCTGAGTGTATAACCCCGC